AAGACGCAAGTATCACCGAGTTTATTCGAGTAGTTTTTTTTTTTTTTTTTTGTTAATCCATGCCAGCCAAACGTGCCGGTACTTTTCAGAAAATCGCAATGTGCGTTCTCAATTTTAGGTAATAACTTTCGGCGAAAAAACATCCGAAGCTCTGCTCCCTCTTCGGGGACTACTAAGTCAACTTGCCTCACTGGCAGCGCTCAAACTTGCATCGTGAGGCAAAACTGAACGGATGCAAGCACGAGGAGACAACATGGCAGCGGTCTTTCTTCGTGTCTCTTCTCGTTCTTCCCTTTGGCAACCTTGTGCCATGTATTTCAGCCCAAAATGTACCAACTAGCCCAACATAACGGACTATCAATGGGATTCACTTTAGTACAGTCAGCTACCTACCTCGCAGAATGTTTTAGGGGCGAAGCTCCTTAAGGCGTGGGCTGTGCGTCTAGCCACCTCTCGTTTAGTTCTTGCAGTGTCCACTAGATGGCGGTACCGTCTCCTGTATGTTGCCTCCTCTCGTTTAGTTCTTGCAGTGTTCACTAGATGGCGGCACCGTTTCCTGCATGTAGCCACCTCTCGTTTAGTTCTTTCAGTGCTCACTAGATGGCGGGACTTGTAGCTGATGATGAAAAGATGCAAGATGTTATAAACTAGACGGCGGTACTTGTAGTTGATGATGAAAGATGCGAGATGTTATAAAATAGGAAAGATGTCACATATGGCACGTGTCATTGGTGGAAGGCAATTTTCGATTTAGTGCGGCGACGTACGCTAGGGGGAGCATTGTAATAAAATCGAGTAGGCAAAATGTACGGAAGATTCATGGTTTACCAGGTTTTCCTCCAGAGCTTCGCCCACTCATCATCATTCACTTCGTGGATATGGCGGCATTTTTTTTTGCTGTTGTTTTTTGTGTGTGTGTGCTTGTGTTTGTATGCACATGCTGTTTTCAGGGCTGAACAAAACTGATGGCAACTGAGATCTAATCTCTCTCTGGTGTCAGTCAGCATTGAAAGACACTGATGTTTTCTGGACATAGCACTGTTACGTTATGTTGCTCATGGCATAATAGAGCAGTTATGTGCCATGCAATCTTTCAGAAGCACATGGAGAAGGCAAAGAGGCTATTCAGTTATGGCGGGTTGCTTATCAAAGACTGTGTGCTTCAGAGCACTATATATTTTTGGAAGCTTGCAGCATCAGTGTCTTTGTCCACAGTATACTGATGTTTGAAATGCACCAGTAATCATGTTTTTCCTTTGTTTAGTTTTTCCTGTGCCAATGTTAAAATTGATTGATTTGTGGGGTTTAACGTCCCAAAACCACCATATGATTATGAAAGACGCCGTAGTGGAGGGCTCCGGAAATTTTGACCACCTGGGGTTCTTTAACGTGCACCCAAATCTGAGTACACGGGCCTACAACATTTCCGCCTCCATCGGAAATGCAGCCGCCACAGCCGGGATTTGATCCCGCGACCTGCGGGTCAGCAGCCGAGTGCCTTAACCACTAGACCACCGTGGCGGGGCACCGATGTTAAAATTAAGGCTTCAGTTTTAAGACTACTTTGATTTGAAGACCTTTCTTTATCGAGAAAGGAAAAAATGTCCTGATACTTCAGCATAGGTACCTTTTGTTTGGTTGTTGTGCACTGTTGTGCACTGTTGTGCGCCGTTTAATAGAGAACTTTTTATTTATTTGTCTTATATTGCACATGTGTTTTGATAATATCATACTTCACTAAACTGATCCAAAAATTCAATTTTACTGCTCCTAAAGCTTCCAAAGCATTACAGGCCACCTCCTACCCTCTATTGATTGGAAGTGCTCATTTGGTAACTCAAGCACTGTTATTTTTGTGTATAGAATCAAGTTAAATTGCTGTATATGCAGGCATCTTATATTGTATCACTTCAATACTGAGCAAAGGTTCTGGCCACACACGCACGCACACACACACACACACACACACACACACACACACACACACACACACACACACACACACACACACACACACACACACACATATACACACACGGGAAAGAAGTGTATACCTAACCTAAGGTTCCGTGTTTTGACACAATATTAATGAGATCTAACAGACAATAATACAAAGGAATATATAGGGAAAGTTATTAGAACTATTGTAAAGTAAATAAGAAAGAAAAGTGGCTAAAAAAATAACTTGCCGTGAGCAGGAATCGAACCTACGACCTCTGAATAATGCGTTCACTGCTCTACCACTGAGCAATCGCGGCGGCCATTCCCGAGCTATCCGGCGGGAATGGCCGGCGTCATAGCTCAGTGGTAGAGCATTTGAAAAGAACACTTCGGTGGCTAATTGAATCAGGCGCCTACTACTCGCACTAGCCTGTAGGTACTCGGGCAATTTTTTTTTCTCCCCACACTAATTAAATAATAATTTTTAATTACGTATTTTTAATTATGGGCTGTAAATCCAAAATATGAACACTGAGATGTAGAGCACTTTCAGAAACCACCGACAAAATTGTTTCCTGTACGATACTATAGCAGTGCGCTTGTGGTCCGTCCCACGGCTTCTTTTCACATTTCGCGGGCTTTTTTTACAATGTGTAAAAAAGAACAGCGCGAGATGTATCGTACAGGAAACAATTCAGTCGGTGGTTTCTGAAAGTGCTCTACATCTCAGTGTTCATTTTTTGGGTTTCCAGCCCATAACTGAAAAAATTGGTAATTAAGAATAACTAATTAGTATAGGGAGAAACAAAAAATAGCCTGATTACCTACAGACTAGTGCGAGTAGTATGGCTTTGGTTCGATTCGCCTCCTAAGTGCCTTTTCTTTCAAATTCGTCGCACAAGTTATATGGGACGCCCTGTATACATGACCTTTTATCTGTCCTAGAGCATGATTTTTATTTGCCCTGCCTGGTCCCATGTTTCTGAGCCCATACATGGCCTTGCTGTTTGTCGCCAAGCTTCCAGGCCAGCTCTGGGCATGCTGGGAAAAGTCTGCTGGCCACAGTTAATTTACTCTAGGCATGGCATATATGCAGTACTGGTGCTTTGAAGTATTTTTTTTTATTTAGTGTTGCTAAAACCTTCACGACAACAATCATGATTATTAAATTGTAGTAACAAACATATGCTAACTAGGAACAGGCATGTCTGCTTCACATTGCCGGACAAAATGATTTATGAGAGAACAAGACGACACTTATGGATAGGCAGTAGAGTAGCTTCGTGTTTAAGCACATAATCGTAACATGGAAATTTAAGGGCCTTGTTAGGCACAATAATAATGAGAACTAAGAGACAGAAATATAGGAAATGTCATGAATAGTAACTGCAATGTAAATGGGAAAAAATGAAAGTGGACAAACAGATAACTTGCTGCTTGTAAGGACCGAACCTGCGACTTTTAAATAACGCGTCCACTGCTCTATCAACTGAGCGAAACTAGATATATACCCCATAAGCGCACATATATGCCCTACAAGGTGGACAGGGAGATGACTGCCGCTTTATGACGTATACAGTAGACTCGAGATAACTCAAGCTCTGATAATTCATACTTTCAGTTGATTTATACTTTTTGCAGGTTCATACCAGAAAATATCAGCTGCTTTCCCACTGCTATATAAAAATGTTTTCGCTTATATAATCCTAACAGTCTAATTATGAAAAGTAAGCACATGAGGCCTTTAAGGAAAAAGGCTTTGCAAGTAAACAAATGTTTGGAACGAAGCACACGCATGGTCGACTGTGATGCTTCTCAACTAGTATAGACAGCTTTGTGCAGAAGGCACATACCTTGTTATGAATTTGCTCTGTCGCGATGGTAGCGGTGGCGAAGAGCGGCGAGCCGTCGAGCGGACTTCGCTGAAGCCTTAGCCCGCAGGCGAAACAGGGAGGCAATCCGTTTTGAAAACAGCAACAAAAAGTAGCGTTTACTGTAGCAGGTTGTCGTTTGTACAGAGCCGGCCAGCACAACAACGTCGGCTGGGGCAAAATCTAACATGGGGCCGGCTCGGCCTTAAATAGCGTCTTTGGTCCATTCTCTCAGACCAGTTCTCGGGCTCGGAGGGGGAGACGTAGTCATACCCGGAACTGCAAAGTGGTTTGGCGGAGGAAGCGACGTTATCCCCGGAACTGCACGGTTCTTTTGCACGGAAGGCGGCGCTGGGAAGGGGGGGAGACAGTTTGTTGAAACAGGGCTCGATCTTGTGAGACGTGCTCCTGAACGAGGAACATGTCTGTGGCACAACAACCTATAGCAATTAAGCAGTCGGAAATTCACGATTTCTCTAAAAGGCCTGATCAGCAGTAATTGGCCAATAAACTTCTGGACTTCACACCTCTGCTTTCTGTCCACTGTGTGCAATTAGGCCTTAAACACACTTAAAAGTTTGTTTGATGTGATAAAATCATTGCCTTATCATATTGTGCAGTGTCACCTCACCCAGAGTCATCTATCTTGAAAACTTCTGATAATTCAAACTTGTTGATAATTCAAACAAAATTCAGAGGTCTCTTCAAGTTTCAATGAATGAGAGTCAACTGTATGTCCAAAACTCAAGCAAGCCTCAGAGCACCAGCACGTTTCCTGTGATATAACAAAAGTTTCAAGGGCCAACTCTTCAAGGTTCATATGTCCACTTCTTCCGATAACCTCATTCAGTCAAGAAGTGCAAGTGGAAATATGAACTCAGAGTTAGTCCTTGAAGCTTTTGCTATTATATTGAAGGAGGCATCTGTGGTGTGTGCTAATAATATACCATTGAGAGAGGGAGTTTCTGGCGGTGCACGTGTTATTCTTGTATCTTTCGTGACACGGGATCTTGATGTTATGGTTTACTATTTATTTGATGGTTCTGCCCATGAGGAAAACAGCGTGAGTTTGAACTTGTCCCTGTACCCTAGCATGCCAAACACAATAGGTCAAGAATGGGTTTTACTAGGTTAGTCTTGTGTCTGCTGGGTTCGCTACATACTCAGTGGTGTTTTATTCCCTGTCAGAATGGAGGAGCGGCCCAACTACAGCACTTTGCAGCGGCCCAAGTGTCCTCCACCTCCGGCTCCAGGGCCTGCCAGTAAGTGTTCTATATTAAAGGGGCTCGAAATTGTTTTGGGGGTAATCCTGGAATGGCCTCAAGCACACTGCCTTACAAATCTCTAGCTGCAGTGGCGGCATACATTGTCATGTGTGCATTGGGCAAGTGGGCTTTCACAGATGGCTACATGCACTGGTGAATACTGTCACAGCAGTGAATGAACTTGGGCATGCATATTTGGAAAGGTATGCATGAACACACTATGTACAACATACTTTCAAATCATTTAACCCCTTAACTGTTTCGTTTTATTTGTTTGGAGCTTCTTTTTTTGTCTAAAAAGTCTTTTTTTTCCCAGCTTGATGTTCAATAAGAAGTATGTTTTTAGTTGAATAAAGAAATGGAAGTGCGTATTAACTCAAATTAGTAAAACAAATTTTAGTGCCTCATGGTGTAGTAGTGTCTTCCTTCAATTGCAAAATAATGTCATCGTTGTGAAACTCGTGAATATAACACATCAAGTCATCAAAATAAACTTGGATATCGAAATAATTAGCCCCTAATGATGCATGAGTAAGACACGTGTCGTCTTCACGGACAGCATTTTTTTAAACACTCGTCACAAAAAAAAAGGAAAATTGTGGTTAAAATAGAAAAAATTGCCTGACAAGTGCCGCCATTGGGAAAAGGACACATGAGTTAACTCGAAAATGAACCGAGTCAGGTTGAGTACACTCATAGGAAGATATGATGTCAAGCGCACGAGCCACACACGCCCAAAATGGTTTTCACTCAGTTTTTCTTTTAAGGACAAAACATGCTCATTCAGAACTGTTGAAAGGTCAGCCAAAAAGTAGAAATAATACCGTATTTATTCAAATTTAGGTGGACCTCGATTCTAAACCAACTCCCAAAAGTCCGAAGCCCGGAAAAAAAAAAAACTTAGCTCAAATGCAGGCCAAACGAAACAGCGTTCACTAAGAGGAAACATTTATTGAACATAAAGATGAAACAAAGCAGTTGGTTCATGATGCTAATACCTTGAGAAATATACAGCCGCTAGTCCTGTTGTGTTTCTTTTTCATCGTCTTTTACGCGCTGCTTCTAGTTATTTGCATCACAAAGATGCTGTGCTTGCCCATGCCGCACTCATTCAGAGTTGTCGCTGACACGAGACAGTATGCCATCCTCGTGCCATCAAGTGTTTTGGTTATGCTGCACTTTTTAATTAAGAGAACACACAATCAAAGTTTGCGGGTTGTCGTCCCACGCTGCAGCCCCTCCAGCGATGCACATTTTTTTTGTCCACTCCAAAGTCCTGCTCGGCTTGAATGTTAGACGACGACTCCGCGGCTAGGACAACTTTCCTTTTATAAGCGGCACTATAATTACACTGCCTAAATGGCACCATTGAGCTAAGCCACACACAGACCACTCAAAGCGAGACTCGAAAGACAAACGGCTCGCCTCAGCACTCGGTACAGAGATCAAAATGGTGGCCTCACATGTGCATTTAAGCCAGGTGTTGGCTTGGCCATAGAGTTAGATAAAATTAGTTAAGGGAAACTGTAGTGTACACTTATCCCGAAGCATTATGGCCACTAGCGTGGGTCTGGTTTTAGCGAGCCGCAGGGCGCGCGTTAACCGTCACCGGGGTGAGAACACGGTACCGCTCAAGGTCGCAACACTTTATTGTCTGCGGCAACACCAAAAACGCAGTAAATAGCCTGTTGCAAAGGTCCGGCAAGAAAGTAAATGGGCTTATTCACGCTACGGGCGAGAAGTAATACACAGGGGTGCCATGAGCACGTCTCCGTGGTAAACGTGGACACCGGGACAAAGGCTCGGTTGCTTGAGCGTGGGCAAAGGCGCTCACGTTGCCTTCAGAAAGATACGGGTCGCTGTAACCTTGCCACGCACTTGGACACCGCACTACTCTTCGGTCTAGCGTTCGCAAAGGGGCAATAAAAGGTGAGCGCTCGCCGCGGGTGCAAGGCACCGTTGACGAAGTCCAACGAGCCCTAAACAATAGGAGTTGACGGACGGAAAAGAAATGCGTGCTCACAGTCAGCTGTTCCGGAAAAATCTGACTCACTCCCGACGCGCACACGCAAGACGTCCCGAGAGACTTTACGCGCGGCGCCACAGTCATCTGCTACCGGGTGAGAGGGGTTAAACGTCACTCCTCGCTCCTCCAGCGCGGCAGACAGCAAAGGAGGGGAGTCGTGTAGGGACATGAGAACTGCAGAAGAGGCAGCAAAGCCCACGCTAAAGTGGCGAGCTAGCCTCTATTCCCACAAAATTTTGGCGCTGCAATCGTTCAGCGACCACGGTAATTTTAGGTAGTACATGGATTTTCCTAGTCTTCGTACATGCAGGCGGCAAGTCGCACTTGTGGGTTTGTTTATTGCTGCGCTTCGGTTTTGTTTTGACGAAAAGAATGAAGTGTTTTTAACTTTGTGACTTGATTTAAAATGGTTAAAATAAATTAAAAATGAATTAAAAATAACTGCTGAACATTTGCAAATTGTTGTTTCGTGACAAAGTACCTTCAAGCTGCGTGAAGCCGGAAGGAACGGAAAATATGAAGACTTGTCAAATTCGTGTAATACCCATAATTGTCATGCTTGATGAAGCGCCATGCGTTGCAGCTCCCATAGGGGACGAGTGCTGGAATTTGCATGGCTGCCCTGGCGGTTAAGTCGTGCACTTCTTTGCTACTCGCGCAGATGAGAGTGGTGGCTGGTAGGGGTGGTGCAGGTGCGCATCACCGTAACAGAGCCAAGGGACGCTGGCGGTACTGCTGCGTAATGAAGTGCAACAACATGTAGAAAGGAGGACGTACCTGTCTACGTTTTTTTCTTCATCATACCAATAAAAAAGCCGGCAGCATTGCATCCAAGTGGTCAGGCGAGCTAAGTATGTTCTGCTCTCTTTCTCCTGTCAAGTGGTGTCGGGCTGTTTCTAAACTGAATGGCGCGTTTCTGCTATATTTATTGTATGGTGAAGACGGCCAGCAGCGGAAACCAGGGCCAAAACAGTCAAATATTAACAGCGTTCTAGCAGAAATAAAACTAGTGTTTCATGCAGCATACGGCATATGTAATTTTTTTTATCTGGCCCACTGAGCAGTAAATCATACACCTCAGTACAAACAAAGTTTCTCACACATCCATCCTTCTGACCACCAGCACCACCAAACTCTCCACCTCGTCAAGTGGATATTACAACAGGCATTTTGTAAACAGTTTCGCATAAAGGAAAGCTGCCTTGTCCACAAGATTTTGTGTGAGGGCAATGCCTTTGAACTGTTATAAAAGGTACTCTTGCAGTGAATACACGATGCTGAGATGCCTTTGTTTAACTTAATTTGTGCCAAAGACAGGGTTCTTGTTACGGACAAAGCAGCTGGCTACTCAGAGCTTAGCTCTTTCGAGTGAGCCGACGTGGTAAGCTTCTTTTTCAGTGGCTGCAGTGGCTAAGTAACATCGTAATTTATACCTTGCTGGATAATTATCAACTACCTTCGATTTTCACTCGTCGTTTAGCTCGCCTAACGCACAGTTTCAGTTCTTCTGCTTGCCTGTGTCGGCTTCATAAAAGTGTCTGTTCAACATCGGTTCAATAGGCTTTCATGTGCCAAACAAGATATCATTTTGAGGTACGCTATAGTGTCAGTATCAGGATTGATGGTGACCGATTGGGGTTCTTCTATGCACGCACATATCTTGGTTCTCGGTTGTTCTTTGAATTTCATGTGTATCAAAGTGCAGTCGCTGTGGTCGGGAATCTGTCCCGTGCGCTCAGCATAGCAGCGCGACACCACACGTGCTATGCTGCCACAGTGGTTTGCGTGATCTCCTTGTATACATACCGTAGACGGGGCTTATATTCGATGCCAGAAAAAAAAAAATTGATGCAGCTATCACCTTTTGTTTTTGTTTGTTTTCTTTTGCTACAGATGTGGGCAGCGTGCTATCATAGCAGCACAGACTTATCAATGGAAGAATGTCAGCCAGCTCTAGCTTGACACAAAACCCTGCACACAACCAGAAAATGGACGAGGGAGTCTCCATCTACTGATATCTACTAGGGGGAGCTGGATAGGGCATCAAGCGCGCGCGGTTGAAGCCACCAGAAATCGCTATAGGAATTCCGGAAGCTACCGCCATGAACAGTCGTTTTCTGCGAGCGCGAGGGCTTTTCTCTTCTTTTTAAGAAAATGCTGGCTTGTATAGAGCAGTGAACTTCATCAATTGACCCGAAATGTCATCGCGAAGACATTTTATGCATAAGTACCTCAAAATTATATTCCTTTTTACGCATTCTGCGAGGAAATTATGGTATTTGACCGTCTAATTTTTTATCAAAGTGCGTTGAAGGTGTTTGGCTTTTTTATATGCAGTCACATATCAACTTGAGCTCAACTTGAGCTTTTTCATGCTCGAGGCTTCAAATATACAAGAAATGGGTCAGTAACTTAAAGAGGGATAACTGAACGCCGTCTCTAGGAAGCAAACTTTGCGGTGACCATTTTGCAGAGTAATGTTTTGGCCACTCTGTTCCAAAAACTAATCTTCGATACGATGTCATCCGGACGTTGTTTTCTTTCTTGGATCACTCACAAAAGACAAACATTCACGCTCTTGGCTACCATTGCACTCATTCCTTTTTTTTTTTTTTGTAACAGAATAAAATGCCGTGACAATTTTTTTCTCTGTCACAACTACTGAGTAATTGTAAAGTTGTACGTAACACCACTGCGCCATATTCAAATGGCATTACTACGGCGTCTGTAATTTTTTTCGTAGCGTTAGTCGGTTTTCCAAGTGATGCCTAATCATAGAGTTTGTTGCATGCACTAGTTGTAGATTACAACACCCTGCCGTTTCGGACGGCGCCGCTACGTCTGTCATTTTTCGCGGAGCGTTCGATGACAACTAGAATGTTATATTATAAAAGAGAAAATGCAAAAGTTATGATCACAGCAACTGCCACCAGATAATACGTCAAATGCACGCCTAAAATGCCCCAGAATACGCTAGCTTCCGGGACAGTGAAGGGACCTTCTGGTGGCTTCACAAGTACCCACATTAGAGAGCAGGGATGCGTCGTCCACAGTGTCACCATCACGACACAGCACGGTTCCTTTGATGCTATTTGCACAGTCGCAGTACGCTTTGCAGGGCTTCTCTGTATTTTTTCAGTGCTTTTATAAGAGAGTAGCCTTCGAATAAAGTTATTTTTATAAACCACAGTGCAGTAATACTGGCGCAATGGTTTTTCTAGCTGTTTGTTCCACAATGAAGCACAGCAGCGGCACACATGCATGCTCTCCCCTTCGTACACTGCGGCCAGTCGTCTGGGCGCAAGCGGCCGAGTTTTGTCGCGACTCTTCGCTAAGTGCCCTTTTTCGGTGCGCCACCTATCTAGCGCTGGTCTACAATAGACATTAGCACCACAGATTCCTCTAGTGTATATATAGGAAACTCTATGGGCTTGGCCTATAATGGCTAAAATGCCATCTAGGTGGCGCTAGTTGTGCACCACTTTGGTTAATGAAAAATGGCGTGTTTTTCAAAATTCTCTAATCTAAGCCAAACCTGGAGTTTGATGCATAAAAATTTGGAAAAAAAAACTATTGGCCTAGAAATACCTGTTACTGAAAGGGATGTCACGACTATAGAAGCCAGCAGTAGCTGTGGGGCCTGCTTGTTTTATAGTTGCTGACAGCCGACACGTTGACACAATCCTCATCTACAGTGTCTGATCTGTTAAACGAAGCAGTTTGACAAGGCTGAGGCATGCAAACACGGACACAAGAAGGTGGAAAAAAAAAAAGATGCAGTAGGTGACCAATGTCATTTTTATGCATGGTCTTGATCTCCTTTTTGTGTCCATGTTTGCACGTCTTTTAGAATCTCAGGCAATGTCCACTGCTGCGGCGTACTGAGTGATGGCTCTCTCTCCCTCCAGCATCGTCGACTGGCTGCAACAGTGTCGGCAACCCCATTGGCGGCCATGAGCATCTGCAGGAGGTGGGCGGTGCTGCAGCTGCCACAGCGGTGCCTGTGCCGCCACCGCGGAAGGTGGGCCACGCCCTTGTTCACCTTTGGTACACTGGACTCTGTCCCAGGCCCTCTGCTGCCAAGGTTCTTGCTTTCTGCTGCTCATCTGCACGCTTGCTTCTTCACAGCTAGAGCAGCTCTCGCTCCACTCACAGCCACGTGCTAGTGCAGTATTTGCAAACTGACAGAAACTCATCGTTAGCATTGCAACGATAGAACACATTTATTCAGAGGGTGGGGGATGCAGTGGTTTAGTTCAGAGTGAATTCATTTCACGGAGCTGCTCACATGCCAGCCTCCAACCACCGCTAGCACATTTCAATATGCAGTGGACTCTCAGTAATTGGAAATATGTTAAACATAACTGCTGCTTCAATGAAACAAGGGCCTCTGACAAGATTGGTCATGAATTCTGCATTCCTGGTCACCTTCTACTAATCAGAACTCCTGTTAAGGGAGAACATCGCACCTAAAGAAAAGTTTTTTTGTTATTTTTAAATGATTTTGATAAAGCTTGGTGAGTTTGTCTATTTTTGTGCTGTGAAATCCCAGCTTAAAATTGACTCACTCACATATGTTCCACATGCCATTTCATTTGTTCAAATCGATTTAGAACATTCATTGCTTGTCACTGCAATCAGCTCCAATTTCATATTATTTTGATATGCAAATTTACTTTATAGTTTTCTTAGTTTAGAATAAATCTCGCTCCCCAAAAGACACATGAAATATTTTGTATTTTGAAAACTACACTTCATTTGAAAAAAGTAATTGCATATTTGAGATGGGCTCACAAATACACATAAACTCCAAGTCAATTAAGGGATAGAAAGCTTTTTTAAGAGCAGTGTCTTCCGGTACCATATTGAGTCTACTGTATTCATCAGTACATAGGAAGCACATGATGTATGGCCACCACTTACAGCTCAGACCACTTACCACATGACCGGTTATGGTACAAGACCAGCTACAATGTGTTGGCACCTTGTGACTCCTTTAGCCTCCTAAAAAACGCTACATATACACACACTGCTTCAGACGAAAGGCCATCATGAAATAGAAATGAACAATTTGAGAGCGGATGGAGAAATAAACTGGCCACATATCTGCGGGCTTCACTGAAAACGACATCAGAAGAAAATAGTGTTCTGATATGGACGCCATATGGGAGTAATGTCAATAAACAAAAGCTTTTTAGAACGCTGAACTATCGTGTGGTTTTAGGAAAGCGTAGACAGACAGACAGGTAAACTTTACTTGCATCCTGGGAAGAAGGTTCTTATGAACCCACCGAGGGCTGCACCTACGACGGGGTCGGGGACCAAAGGTTCCCGATCACATCACAGGCTCCCTGGATCACCCGAAGTTGTTTTGCAAGTTGTGGACTCGCGATACATATTAAAAAGTCTGTCTCGCTTACGTGATGCCTCTTTGTTGAAACGCGCAAGCGGGGGCACCGCCACATCAAATAAGGGAAGGTGGCGAGCTGATCGCATGCCGAGCAGTTAGGAGAAATGTCCGTATACAGCGCCATAGTGGCTGGTGACGGAAAGGAGCTAGTTTGGAGGAGTCGGAGGGCTATCTGCTGTCTTCTTGTTAGCTCTCTGTGTGGACCTGGAAAGGATTTTTTACCTAATCGGTAGTGCAAACATAACTCGTGAAAGGCAGTCAGCGGGCCCCCGTCGGCGCCATCACCATTCCCCTCCCCCTCGATATGAGGGAGGCTCGTTAGCCCGGGGCGGAAAATGAGTCCTCGCGACCGAGCGTGAGCAATTTCGTTGGGGTTGGTGATGCCGGAGACGGAGGCACCCATGTGGGCGGGGAACCACGTGAACTCTTAAGGAAGTACTGTGCCGTTCATGAGAATTCTGTAAGCAGCCAAAGAGATTTGGTTGGTGTCAAAGGGCCTGATGGCCGTCATGGAATCGGAAAAAATAGCGGACATATCTTTAGTCGTCAGCGCTAGAGAGATAGCGACCTGGTCAGCTCCCCTGATGGACTTGGTCCTCACTTAGGCGGCACTAACGGTGCGGCCCCTCATGTCTACCACTGCGGCCACAAAGCTATTTGGTCCCGACCGAGATGCGTCTACGAAGAGCACGTTTTCGCTTCTCCTATTTAAAGTAGAGAGGAGGCCTTTAGCCTTTGCTCTTCTTCTACTTTGATTATGTACCAGATGCATGTTTCGTGGTAGTGAATGAACCATTATTGTTGACCTTACAGTGTCAGGAAGGGGAACTGCTCTCTCTTTAGTCAGAGGAGAACTGATACCTGCTCTGGAAAGAATCGCCTTGCCGGCTCCAGTGCACGCAAGTCTGGAAGTCTGGGCAGTGCACTGCTTTTCGATTAATACGTCAAGTTTGTTATGAACACCCAATCCCTCAAGTTTCATGGTACTCGTTCAAGAAGGGACGCCCAAAACCTTTTTGACAGTTTTTTGAATCAAGACTTCTAGTTTGGCCTTTTCGGCAGTAGTCCAAGCGTGCATAGAGGCAACGTAATTGATATAACTTAAAAGGAAGGCATAGAATAGCCGGAGGAGGTTGTCCTACTTGATGCCTCCTCGTCTACCTGAGATCCTTTGAATAAGCCAAAAGGTGGCAGCAGTGTGCTGTTGCAGCTTCTGTATTTTAGCTACATTCCTGCCGTTCTCAGAGATGAACATGCCTTGTATGCGCATAGTGTCTTTGCAGGAGATTTCCGCGCCGCTCTTCGTAAACAGGTGTATGTCGATCTCCGGGGTTGGTACCCATCCATTAGGGTATCGCCCCATGCAAATGGGTCGGTAAAAAATGAGCTCGGACTTGTCTGATAGCGCGAGGTTCATATGAGAAATTTGTTTCTCGACTCTGCGTACAGCTTCTTGGAGTGTACTCTCAGTGTGGCGCTCCGAGCCATCCCGGGACCAAAGGGTGATGTCGTCGGCATAGGTGGTGGAGCCGATGTCATTGTTGTTATATAGATCCATAGCTAGAGCAGTAATACTTATGTTAAAAAGAAAGGGCGAGATCACTGCCCGTTGAGGAGTGCCCGTGTTTCCTAGGTGAAACTTTTTTGATTCCATCTCCTCTAACTTTATGGTGGCGGTTCTATCTGAAATGAACTGCGTTACAAAATTGAAGAAGCGCCTACCAAGGCCCAGCTCGCAGATGGCTTCGAAGATGAGGTCATAGAGTATGGTATCGAATGTCTTTTTGAGATGCAGAGCCAGAATGACTCTGGGATATCTGGTAGAGGTGTCGATGGCCTGCGATATGATGAGAAGCATGGCGTCTTGTAGTGTCCCATTGTCAGTACAGCGTAATAAACACTACAATCTTTAGAATTACATACAGTCAGCTCTTGTATTACAAAGTTCATGGGTACTGGCAAGAACTTCTTAATAAATGGAATTCGAATTAACCACAGTGAATGAAAAATACATTTATAAGTGATCTCCTGTGCCAAAGTTCACTAAATCAGATTTACTGCGCCATCCTGATAATATCAACGAAAATTGCGCCAAGCTGTGCTAAAGTCGGATTTGGGAGTGTCTATCATCAGCAATAGCCACACCGGCGCAAAACATGTGCATCTTGTTCTCGGGGCCACCAAAGTCATAATCACGTGCCTAGAATTATTCTGCCGAGTTAACAGCGGTCGAGCATGCGTCCTAAGTAATACACGATGCTATGTTTGGTGCCGACGCAACTTCTGTTGTGCAAGTCCGCTTAACGGGGAAACGTGCTCTCCACAGGAGCTTGTGACGTCTAGTTCAATCAATGCGTAAAAGTGTGGTGGTGGTTCATTGGTGGACTTCATGATATCGCGTTCTGATTTCCCGTGCTCCACGTGCACAGAACACTTGCACGGTGGAAACACGTTGACATTTTCTTTTAATATACTTTATTCATGGAGCAGCCGGAAATCAGTTTTAATACGAGCAGCTTTCAATAGGGAGGCTATCGCTGACGGCTCTGAAGTCGGAAGGCCCACGGTGAAGCAGCTACGCCTTGTTACAAGTCTGCCTTTCGCTTTCCAAGGTCAATAGCAGATGGTTAAAAAAAGTTAAACATCATGTCATCGCATTCATTGCTTATGTAATGAAGAAGTAGTGGGTCATGCAAAGCTCGGCAACCACATCGGCAGTTCGGCAATCACATCGGCATGAGATGCTCGGCTGGGACGTTGTGGCTGCTTTCGCTGGCTAGGCCTACGCTCCTACCTAGTTTCAAAATACTGCTCTGACTGTCCCAGTTCTTTATTATATTTTGTGGAGTTTGCTGGGTCTCTTCGCAATCCTGGAGTTGCGAAGCCGGACTCGACCTCCTGCTATGACCACTGCATCTGCCACAAGCCCTCCGCCTATGGCTTCCCAGGCCATCGTGTGCTCCGGTGCAGTCCGTCAGCGGGACCCTCCCATATTCAGCGGCACTGACAATCACAACGTCGATGACTGGCTGTCTACCTACGAACTCGTGAGTGTCTTGAACAAATGGGACGAAGCCACGAGACTGGCCACCGTCGACATTTACCTCAGTGGCATTGCCCACTTGTGGCTTCGGAACCATGAAACTGACGTTCCAACCTGGACAGCATTCAAGACTAAGTTCAGCCGCGGTCTTCGGTCTTCGATACGGTCTTCAGTCGTTCTGCTGTTCGCAAACTTCGTGCGGAGCAACGCCTTCAGTCAAGATCACAACCACCTGGTGAGAATTTCACCAGTTACATAGAGGATGTCATTGACTTGTGCAAACGCGTCGATGGGAACATGGCTGAGGTGGACCGCATCAAGCATATATTTAAGGGTATCGAGGAGGACGCATTTCAGATGCTGATTTCAAAAAGCTTTGCTTCTGTCGCCCAAGTTACCGAGCCCTGCCAAAGCTATGATGAGCTTCACCGGCAACGTCTCGTCACCCGCCGTGCTGTGCAACATCAAGAATCGATGTCCTCCCTAACTCCCTCGCAAGATCCTGTCTTCCTTTCGCAGATCAAAGATTTTGTGCTCGAAGAAGTTGCCCGCCAACTCTGGCTCATCTCCGGCCTACCGGAGCTCAGTTTGCCGCTTAGCCCTACACTACGCACTATTATACAGGACCAAG